ACTACCATGCTTGGCTTTTCCCCCTCTGGGGGATTGAGTTCCTCAAGCTTTGATGGCAAGCACATAATCAAAAGAAACTTACTAGTGTGCTCTGTTGGGAGGGATTGGGAGGTAAGGCCTCAGAGAAAAGAGCACAGGGATCAGTGGTGATGTCCACCTTGTGATTGGACTGGAAGTTATGGCACGAGTCCTAGGAAGGTCTCTTCCATTACTGTCCCCAGATATTATAAAAAATCTATCCCTTGGGGCTGGAGAGATGACTCAGTAGTTAAAAGAACTGGTTGCTCTTGCAGAGGACCTGGGTTTGATTTCCAGCTCCCACATGGCAGCTAACAACTGTCCATAACTCCAGTTCCAGGGGATCCAACACCCTCTTCTGGCCTCCATGGGCATTGCATGACATGGGTGCACTTATATACGGACAGGAAAAACATTCATACACATAAAATAAAAATAATAAAAAAAGCTATCCGTGAACCAAGCTAAATCTTCAGAGTTCTTATCTCCATGAAATTGCTTTGAACACTGCAGTGTACTGATTGACACTTGGTAGGATGCCAGTCACCTGCACGAGGATGTACTGAACAACAGTTGTCCAGAACATGATTCTATATTTACTGTAGGAATGTTACTGAGGAGATAGTATATGATACAGTGTTCCCTTTAAGAAGGGTGAGATGAGAGCTTTTCTGAACAACTGCTCTGTTTTATAACTGATTATGTTTCTCTTCTTGCTCTGGTTGCCTGGAAACCCAAGACAAAATTGCAGACCTCCGCTGGCATCTACACAGGCTGTCTGCAAACGTCTTTATACACTTTCTCCCACCCTTTTATTCTCTTACCACTTTTTCCTATGCATTCCTTCCCTCCCTCTCCCTATTTTCAACACTAGGGAGCCCCAGGGATTTGCTTGTCACTGCATCTTCAGGATTGGGATTACAAATGCACACCACCATGCTTGGCTTTTCCCTCTTCTTCAGGGTCAATTTAGTTTCTCATACTTCCAAGGCAAGCACTTTACCAAAACAAACTTACCAGTATGCTCTGTTGGGAAGGATTGGGAAGTGAGGCCTCCTTCTTTCCTTTCTCCCTCATAGGTTAATGTATGTAACCTCATAGGTTAGTAAGGTAATCTCATAGGTTTCATTAATTGTGCATCTGTTCTTTGTCTGGTGATGTTAGGGGATGGACACATAGCACTTTCACCTTCCACAAAATCTGTATTAATAATTTCAGCCCACTCATGGTAACTTTGGAATTAAGGGTCATATGCACGGAGAAATTCTTCCAGTAGTAGAGTTTCATGGGGAGTTGGTGGGCCATTCCAGCCCTGCTTCTGTCAGATATAGTTTTCATGACCAACCCAATGAAGCACTCCATCCTTGCCCTAATTACTTTCAAGTCATTTGTTTTGCTGAGACATGCCACATAGACCACTCTGATCACATCTGACACATTCATCTAGAGTATATAAGTTTTTGTAAGAACACAAACTCAACTTTTTTTTCTTTTTGCAGTACTGGAGATCAAACTCAGGGCCTTGTACATTGCTGATACATGCTCTATTACTGAGCCATATCCCCAGCCATACAAACTCACCATTTATCAGAAAGATAAAACTGAAATAGGAGAAAGGGGCATAGACATAATGCTCTGGAAGTGGGGGCACTGTTGGATGATTTCTGTTGTACTTTTCCAGAAGACCATTTCTCTGAGCTCCCTAATCCCTGACCAGCAATAACATGCTTTCTTAGTTCCTACTTCCCATGTGACTAGGCTTCTCAAAGTTCTGCTTTCACTTCTTCTTCCTGGTGGAAACAGGTGTGGTAAGGGGAGCCCTCAGCATAATTCCTCACTAGGCAGTTGTTGAATTGGCACTATAGAAAATGGGGACTGCTCCCTATTTCTCTTTTGCCTCCAGGAAGCTCAGAGTCAAATTTGATGCTTGGGTATAACATTAGCTTCATGGCTTATAAGATTGATTGAAAGAAGATGTAGGGGCTGGAGAAATGGCTCAGCAGTTAAAAGCACTGTCTGCTCTTGCAGAGGACCCGGGTTTGATTCCCAGGATCCGCATGGTGGCTAACAGCCATCTGTAATTCCAGTTCCAGGAGAATCCTGGAATCCTCTTCTGACCTCCAAGGGCATTGCATGACATGGTTGTACTTACGCATGTGCAGGCAATACCTTCATGTACATAAAATTAAAAATCAAATCAAATTTAAAAAATAAAAGATGTGTTTTTATTGGTGTGTGTGTGTGTGTGTGTGTGTGTGTGTGTTTTAATACCACGTATGTTCAGGAGCCCATGGAAACTAGAAGAAGACATTGGCTCTCCTGGAGGTGGTGTTACAGGTAGTTATGAGCTACCATATAAGTGCTGGAAACTAATCTCACGTCCTCAGGAAAAGCAGCACATGCTCTTAACCAGTGAACCATCTCTCTAGCCCCAAGACTGATGCTTCCTAAAAAGCAAAGAAAAAAAAAACACCAAAACACCCCCCCAAAACCTTATAAAATAAAAACCAACTCCATTATCCAAATGCCGTTTTAAAAAACTGTATTTGACCCTCTTTCAAACTTAATAATTACTAAGCTACACCAAGTGGGACTCCAGACCTCCAGAGCAAACCCGGGTTTGTCTACCCACCATTTCCTAAGGTGCCGTTGACCGTGCTCTGCTGTTGGTTGGCTGTGGCATCAGGAGAGTAATGCAAACAGTGACCAGAAGTCAGGAGACATGAATTTGTTTGTTCTTCCTTGCCCTTTTTGACCTTGAGCAAATCTGCTAAGTTCTTTGATTTCCCAAGTTCTTCATCCATGAATGGCTTATGTTCTTTAGAGAGCTGCTGTGAGGATGACAGGAGACAATGATGGGGATTGCTTTTTAATCCATAGAGCACTGCACTGTTGCAGGTTGGGATTATACTTGTTGGGCTATGAGCTACCCACAAACCCAGGGAAGGTTCTTATGAACGCTTCCCACCACCTGTATTCTTCCTATTCATGTTTTCCAATGTCAAGAGAAATCATTAAAGCACAGGTCCAACATGTTTATCATAAATCTCGAAGCTTTGCCTTGTCTTTGGGGCCTGTGGGCTCTGAGGGAGCAGCTCTCAGCCCTGGGATGTTGGTTGCTTCTGCTGCCACGTTAGGTGACATGCTGCTCTATTGGTGACAGTGGTCACCCATCCCTCTCTGATAGTTCCTACTTGCCCTTCTCTTTGGCTCTTCCTGTATGTTGAATTCATTGCCTTAGTTTTAAGCCCTACCTCTGAGCTGATGACCCTAAAACTTGTATCCATAGCCTGTGCCTCTTGTGCTGGCACAGAGTAGGACTCCAAATTGCTTTTGGGACTCTTTGAACCTGGTGTGTACTGAAAATCCAAAATGTCCAGAATACACTCATATGTAGCTCCTCCTCCCACTCTCTAGTTCCTTCCGGGGTCTCTCACATCTGTTTCCTCTTCCCTCTCATTGTCGTTGCTTTAGTTCAAGTTGTATCATCTCTTGCCAAGACAAACTGTAGTAGCTCCTAACTGATCTTCCTGGGGAGCTGTGGGCCACACCAAATGTTTCTAAGATGCTCCTCTCATCAAGTCAACCCCTCCTCCTTACCCATCTTTGGTGGCTTCCTGCACTTGAGGTTCCCTGGGAGGAGCTCTGATCACCCCTTCCTCTCCCCACATTTCAGTATTTCTAACGAAAGCAAATTACTTGCAGTTCATGAAAGTGGCATACTTACTGCCACATTCCTGTACCTTCTGTTGTTGTTACTGTTTGAAACAGGGTCTCAAGCTGGCCTTGAATTTGCTTTATAGCTGAGGATGGCCTTGAACTCCTAGATTCTCTTGCCTCTACCTCACCAATGCTGGGATTACAGATGTGCACTGTCAAATCTAGTTGATGGCGTGCTGGGAGATAGAACCCTGGGTTTTGTGCACATTAGGCTATTAACTACATCCCTAGCCACCATTAAATAATTTAAACATAAAAATTTTGAATTTAAAAACAAACCAAGCATGCATGAGAAAGAAGAGAATGTGATAACTGGAGACCAAGCTGAAGCCTAGCAAGAGTCAGGTATGGCTGAGAGGGATCCAGGGCAGTCGGCGGGGCTTGGGATATGGAAAGAAGGTTAGATGAATACAGCAGGTTTGAGTACTGTTGGAGGGTTGGACTGGCTGAGGAGACTGGCAGGGAGTGAGAAGGCACTGCCTGGAAGGAAGGAGTTTAAGGAGGTGGTAAGGTGGGCAAAGGCATTATTCTTCCATGCTTATTGTTGACTAAGCCTTCAAGAAGAGCTAGGATAGGGATTTAGGAGAGCTGGCTTTTGTACAGTCCTATACCCTGGAGCGAGCCATTGCCTCTCCATGGTTCATTTTCCTCAGGTTCAAAACAAGCCAAGTGACCTCCCCAAGCTCTTTCATTTGCGAGGACACTAAGAACCTGCCACTGCCTCTCTGCTGCTTGAGCTGTTCCTCTGAAACTCAGTTCCTTCAGTGCCATAAAAATCCAGGCCCTGTCCCAGGGTCTGACCATCCCCCAACCAGAAAGCCCGCTCAAGCAGAACACTTTGCACCATCATTCTCTACAACCAGACATTCGCTGATGATATTCTGATGAGAGCCCTTGTCTTCCAGTCTGTAGCTCAGGGGAGCTTGCCAGGCTGGGGTAACCTGGCCTCCAAGACACTTGGAGGCAAAAAGTGAATGCTGCTCCAGTGTCTTGCATCAGAGCCTTTCTCTGAGGATTGATTCTGATACAAAAAGGAAAGAGGGAGGGGAGATGGAAACCTAGGTGTGCTGAGCGGTGCAGGGCACTCACTTAGCGTTAATTCTGTTAATTCCACTCGATGGAGCAGGTTCTCCCCCATTTAACAGATGGGGGAAAGACTCAGAATGCTTAAGTAACTTAACCAAGGTCAAGGGCTGGTGAGCGAACAGCCAGGGTGGAAAACAGGAATTTCCCCTTGGCACAGGAGCCCCAGCTGCAGCCATTGATGGCGGAGAGGTTCGAAGGTTCCAGGAGCATCTGTGCCTGCGGATCTCGCGGGCCTGCCCGCTCTGACACCCTCGGGTCTGGCTCCACCCTCCGCTGGCCCGCTGCTCAGCCCAGCGCCGCTCCAGTTCCAGGATGCCCAGCTGCGGGCTGTGCTCCGGCCCGGGACCTTCCTTTGCCCGGTCACCTTCTTTCCCCCCCATACAGTGTGCTCCAGGGCGCTTGACCCTGCCGGTGGGTGTTGGGGTCGCAGCTGAGCCCGGCTTTCTTCGTTAGTAGGAGCCAGGCGAGGAAGACTTTGGGGACCTCACAGTCGCCCTGCGCACCCGGGAGGAGACTTTGGGCGTCGGGAACGCCTCCAGAAGCCTGGAAGGGCATAAGCGAGGGGCGCGGCAGCGGAACTTGGGGGGCGGAGGGCATGATGTGGTGAAGGGCGAGCGGCGCGGCGGCGGCGATGAGTGCTTCTGCGGCCACCGGGGTGTTCATGCTGTCCCTCTCGGCCATCCCGGTCACCTACATCTTCAACCACCTGGCGGCCCAGCACGAGTGAGTGAGCGCGCGCGGGGGTGGCGGCGGGCAGCGAGAGTCCGCAACTTTTCCTTGTCCAGGGAGGGGAGGTGCCCAGGGTCGCCAGGTCGTGGTCCTCGCCAGGACTGGCGCCTTTCAGGGTTCAAGGGCTGGATGCCTGCCCTGTGCCTGTACTGAGCGGGCACCCAGTGAGAGCGAGGTAAATACCGCAATGCTCCTGCCTGCAAGGAGCGCCGGCACCAGTGAGGAGCAGAGCAAAAGCGAAAGGCATGCGCCTGCCATGCTATCTATACTCGCCCAGTTCCCTTCCCATTTCACACGAACGTTTTCCATGTATGGACTTTCACATACTTACCATTTTTTAATTTTAGAAACTTGTGAGCCACTAACAGAAATGGCCCTGGCTCTCTGGGCCTGGCTTTGCCACTAATGGGGTGGCCCAGCCTTAGTTTTCTGGTCTGTCAAATGGACAGTATTTATACCTCCTCCTAAGGATTTGGGGAGAACTGTTAGCGAAGAGGTGTTGTGAATGGAATAGAGGCTAGATGCTGGCCAGGAGCAGAGGAAACGGGTGGGACTGAAGGAGTTGATGTGGGATATGGTCCCAGCCTTGCCTCCCATTTTTCTAAGTGATCACTGACTGACCAACTCCCATTGGCAGCTGAAGGTCAGGTTGAACAGTGGAAAAGCTCCAGCCTCAATGCCTGCTGAAAACTGGTTGCTGTTGGTTGGGAGGAGGAAGTAACCTGCCATGTTTTGCACAGCAGTTGCTGCTAAGGAAATTACATCAGTCTGTACCCTGTAACCCCCTTCAGACCTCCAGACCACAGGAAATGTGCACACAAGGCAGTAGCTTATCTCACTGCTGTGGCCACTTGATTCAGATAGCATGAGCACTGAGCACTTACTTAGGCACTAACTGCAGCTGCCTTTGGACCCATTTGGCCTCTGCTGCAACTGGAAGAAGCAGAGACCCTAGCTCCTATCATGCAGTTCAGTGAGCATTTATTGAGCACCGACTGTGTGCTTAGATCCATTGCAGATGCTCGGGACTAGCTATGAACACGCCAGAAAAGGCCCAGGAGGCATGCATTGAAACAGGCATTCACAAATACAAAACTGAGAGTGACATGCTACAGGGGACTGGTAGTCGGAGAAGGTTTCTTGGCGGTGGGGACACCAGCTATGACAAGATCTAGGACCAGAACCTTGCAGATGGGGTTGCAGGTGAGCAAGGTAGGGGGAAGGATGTTTGGTGGGCTAGGCAGGTATTTGCTGGGAGAACAGCTGAGGAAGGACTGCACTGCAGCTGAGAGGTTTGGCCTCAGTCACTGGAAGATGAACAGAGACCATGGTGCATATGGTGTTTTATCACTGTGTGTTACTGATCAGTACGGAGTCCTAGAGTGAATAACCTTGAATAATTAGTTTCAGTCATTCTTCTCATCATCCTGTAGGATAAAACCTAGTACTCCATAGCTCCTCCCTCTTCTTTCTTTGCTCTCTCCTCGTACTGTCCCCTTTCTCATAAGTCTCTGGGCTACTTTAGTGTCTGTGCCCTCCTTTGAGTGCTCCCAGGCACTGACTTTTTCTGACACAGAAGGTAGCAAAGGCCCCCTCCTATCTGAGCCCCATGCACATTTCTGAGACTCATCCCCTAACCTAGTCTACTTCCAGAGCTTCAGCCATACAGAATGTCTTTGAGCTTCAACACCCTGTCCACCTTCCTGCCTCCCCTGCCATTCCCTCTGCTTTTCCCTTACAGCTGATTGCTGAAGACACATCTAACTTGAAGGCTCAGAGTAAATGAAACTGTTGCTTCTTCATTTGTAGGTCTTCCCTCTAAGTCATGAATTTCTGCTTTGAGCTCCCTCAGCCCCATGACTTACTTTTTCTTCCTGTGGCCAGATCTCACCTTCCCAGAATGCAGCTCATCTTGGTACTGCCCTGCCCAGTCCAGCACCTCTGTGTAGAGGCTTTCAGTTACTTGACTTTCATAACCTGAGTTTTCTTCTTACCACGCCTTTTATGAAAGTCTGAGAAACAAGAAAATCAGATAGGTTGAGGGGGCAGGAAAGGTTTGGGGGTCTCACATGCATACACATACCCATGTACATGTGTGTGCAACTTTCTCATTGTCATCTAGCTACCTCTAAGTATGCATAAAAGGGCATCGGTAACCTTCCACTCCCAAAGACTAATAACATCTGGTTATTTACAGCCCTGTACACATGTCCTGGAGACCCTGTTAGACCTGTTTCTGCCTGCCTTGAGTAGATAAGGTGCTACACTTCTGTCTCCAGAGGGTCTCCAGGGACAGAGTTGGGAGGCAGAGATGGCCTGCTGCCCTAGTTTCCCTTCATTTTTCCTCCTTCTCTGGAGGTGGAGAGCATGAGAGGGCACTCTGAACCAGTTTATACTGCCTGTCATACTTCCAGAGTTCCAGCCTGGGAATACGCTGGCTGTGAGCTTGGCCCTTGGTGTTCAGGGAGAGGCTTGTCTGCTGACCAGCACCTGCCTCTGGCTGCTCATCATTCACATCCTGTCATACAGCTCACCTCTCTGCTTCTCTCATTGGGTATCTTAGAGCAGCATCATGTTCCTGACCTATGACAGCTTCCTTCTCTGGCCTGTACCGTTATGGGGAGCCTGGAGCATTCACTGTGTGTGTCAGCAGAAACCTCCCATTTTTTTTTTCAACTCCAGCACACAGAACCAATCTGTTTCTCATCACACGACAGAACTCATCCCATCATCCATCCTTTCAATCCATCCATCATCCAGCTATCATCCAACCATTCATCTGCCCATCATTTATCTTTCCATCCATCCACTCATCCATCATTTATCTGCCTCTCATTTATCCATCTATCTATCACCTACCCTATCCATCCACCTTTCTTCTCTTTATCATTCTCTTCCTCTTTCCCAGTGGACATGGTGAAGATGACCTGAATATCCCAATGCTTACACTGCCATTTGGAGGTGTCTCAGCTGAGGATCATTGCTTGCAGCCATTCTAAGAGGCAGTGGGGAGCTGCTGGTACATCAGGCTATCAGAGTGGGACAAGTTTGTTCAGAATGGGAAGCCCTGTCAGTGCCTGAGATCTGAGGAGGAGAGTATCTCTGTAAGGCTGGGGTGACCTTATGGGAGGCAGAGCTCAGAGCCCATGGAGGTAAGTTCCTCCATGTAGAGAGGCTTCTCTTGTTCATCTGGAATCTCTAAGGCCAGCAACAGTACCTGCCACATAGAGAAGACAATACAGCTGTCTCCCTGGCAGGCATGTTTGGCCATAATAGAGCTCAGTCTGAGGGTTTATGGCTGGCTTAGGAGAGATGGCAGATTCAGTGGTTAGGCCTATCAGCTCCTAGAAGAATTGGAGGAACAGGAAGATAGAGTAGGTGGGGCAGCAGCATGTCTGTGCACATGCGACAGGTGGGAAGGAGGAGAATGAGGGCCCTGGTTTCTATCCTGAGAGTCACAAGGCAGTGACCCAGAGAGGTCAAAGTGCTACAGATAAATTGTACTAAATTTTCAGTGCCTGAGCTGAGGCCTAGGCCAGGTTACATACCCATTATAACGCAGGGAGCAAGCGCCTTCAATAGCCAGGAAATTCCAGGCACTATTGTGTTTATTGTGATTACTGACCACCTCCCTGTTTTGATCCTTACAGTTCCTGGACAATTGTAGGGGTTGCTGCCCTCATCCTGCTCCTGGTGGCCCTGTTGGCTCGAGTCCTTGTCAAAAGAAAACCACCCCGGGACCCACTGTTCTATGGTAGGCTTCCTCAGAGGGAATCAGTTTGCATCTACTCTGTAACAGGGAAGTCAGTCTTCTGGCACACATACCTCCTGGGCCATGACTGCTCTAAGCTCACTACTAATGGAAACTGGACTTATAGGTCTGTTCAGAACAAAGCTCTTTCCTCAAAGTTCTGGCCCCTCCTAGGCTGCAGGATCCACTTTCTAGGTAAGAGTTCTGGTGGTGGTGAGTGCCAGGGCCAAGCAGGCCTCTGCTCTGCACCATGTTGAACACCCAGCATGCTCTTCCCTCAACCTTCTGGCTTGGCTTTATGCCTTCAGCTGGTTGCTAGCATCTGGAATTGAATTTACTGTACAGTGTCTCAGTCTACACATCTGTGTAAAGAAGAAAATAATAACATGAGGAGTTGGACAAACACTAATAATTGTTAGGGACTTACATCAGCTCTGGACAAATACACATGTATGTTAAATAAACAAAAATGACATTGATTGAGCATATAGGGTATCTGACAAGGCTCCAAGCACTCCAGAAGTTATATCTTATTTATGCTTCATAATAAATATCCCTCCATTCAGCTAGCTAAAGGTGCTAGAAGAGTGGTCAGGATCATGGAGCTGGTGAGAACCGCACTGATCCCTTTTGTCACTCATGCTGCCTCAGGCAAAGCTGGGACTGGTTTTGAATGCTTTCTGTGGCTAGGTACTTTGCCGGGTATTTATTCGTTAAGTTTCTACTTCATAATCTGAAGTCAAACATGTCCCACATCTTAGTGTCTCTTATAACAGTCATGTATTCTTTTTAAATCACTGGTCTGTGGGTTGGCTGCAGCCCCTTCCTTGAGGTTATGGGTTGGATTTAGGATTTTTCCTTGTGTCTCCTAATGGCTCCCCAAAGCATGCACAGAGGGCTAAGGGAAATAAAGGGATGTCCCTGAGGCCCTTGGCTGGAGCTGCCCACAGTCACTTCCATCTACATCCTAAGGCCAAAGCAAGCCATATGGCTGATCCCTTCATCAAAGGCATAGGAAACATTCTTTGCCTATGGTATACTTTGGAAAAGGTGGGAAAGGAAAGAATTTAAGTGACTGGTTTTGCCCAGTTTGCACATAAAAATCCCACCACCACCACCAACAAAAAACAAACACTCAAAAACTTGAAAACTGAAGCTTACAGAAATTGGGCACCTTGCCTGCAGTTTCATGTCTGGCTACAAAGATAAGGGCCTGACTTCAGAGCCTGGGTCCTTATTCCTGTCCTGGAGCCATGGCTAAATATACTTATATATCCCCCATATCCTCAAGGCAGGGTAACTACTCTCCTGTACCCTCTGCCGTCTGCCCTTAGCTCTGTCCTCAGCTTTGGGGTCAGGCCCTAGGCCAGACTCCTCACCCACTAGGAAGTGTAGAGACCACATCTTTGTCACCTCTAAGACAGTATGTGACCCTCCGTGGGTGTCAACAGTCACTAGTGAATGTTGTACCCAGTGCTTCCTTTCCTGGGAGACATCTGATGGTTAATTACCTGGGAGGCAAAGTGACATCATCAGTGGGAAGCAGCCATGGGCCTCCATGGAGCCTGGGGAAGGGCACTCAGGGACCTTTCACTCCTGTTGATGTCCCTGTTGTCCTTTTCTTTCTTTTTTTTTTTTTTACAGCTTTTATACTCATGAATTGGTTTTTCTATTGTTCCTTCCCATTCTGTAGTCTCAGACACTAATTTATTGCAACTTGAAAATGCAGCTTTCTTTAATAGACTCACATGAGCTGAATGGGATCGAATGCTGTTAAATGCTCTGGTCCTTAGCTGTTGGTTACTTACAGTCTCTGAAGCCCATTTAGGAGTTCTACACAGTGAGATTCTGCTGTAAGATGCACACCTTTCCTCCCTACATCTTCACTTATACCATATCATGTGCATTTTAAAGTCATCTGCCTTTTTCCTAAAGCCATTCACTGTACTTGCATATTAGCCACCTGTCTGTCTTGAGGATCTCCAGGGAGAACGAAGTTAACGTGTTGGACACTCTTAGTTGACCTGGGGTACACTATGAGGACTCACCCCTTTTAGGTCACTTGATTGCTGACTTCACTTCCGCTGACCAGGTGGCATATAGGTTTCACTCTGGGTATTCACTTGAGGGGGGTGGAGGATGGTGGGAGTGGCCTAGAGAACCTTCTGGGAAACTGTCATTCTCTGTCTCTATGACAAGGTTCCCTCAGTGAGAGCCTTGGGGAGGAACAGGGAGGTCCATGTAGGCAGGTGAAGGAACAGCTGCTATGTAACAGATGCAGTCTGCTAGTCTGTGTGGATAACATCCACAGCATCTTCTCGAAAAACATCAGTAACATTCCATGATAAGTGGCGGATGCCCTGCCCATGCTGTCTCCCCTCCCCAATTCTGCACTTTTAGCTTCTGCCTTCTTCGTTCTAGTGTATGCAGTGTTCGGATTTACCAGCGTGGTGAACCTCATCATAGGACTGGAGCAAGATGGCATCATTGACGGGTTCATGACACACTACTTGAGAGAGGTACCGGGCTGTGCAGTGATCGGGCTGTTGAAACGCAGGTTGCTGCCATAGTGCAGCCTCCCCAGATCTCTTCCTATCCAAGACTCAGGCTGTTTATGTATATGGCAAGCCAACCATGGGAGGTTGTTCTCTCCAGCGTTCTGCCCTCATCATGCCTCCTTCACTCCTGAGCCACCATGTGATCTAGCCTTTTCCTTTAAATGAGGAGCTTCTAATGAATTTAGGATTTGAATTTCTGTTACTAGATTATAATCTCAGAGATTCCAAATTGGTTTTAAATTTCTCAGGTGCCAAAACCTGGCATGTTTGTAATCCCGGTTCTTGGGAGGCTGAGGCAGGGGGACTGCTGCAAGTTTGAGGCCAATCTGGACTACACAGTTTCAGGCCAGCTGGGCTACATACAGTATGAGACCCTGTCTCAAGAAAAAAAAATTAAGGTACCAAAATCAAGATAGTTAAGCTTGATGAGTCTAATGATTAACACCCTATCAAGCCTACTAACAAAAATCTACAGCACTTGAAGAAACTATTTTTTTTTAAATATTTTCATTTAATGTGTATGTGCGTATTGTCTGCATGTAAGTAAGTGCACCCATGTTGTGCAATGCCCGCAGAGGCCAGAAGAGTCTGTCAGATCCCCAGTTGTCAGCTGCCATGTGGGTGCTGGGATTCGAACCCGGGTCTTCTGCAAGAACAGCCAGTGTTCTTAACTGCTGAGCCATCTCTCCAGCCTAAGGAAACTAGTTTTATTTTCTTATTTTATATTGGGCTGAATACAGCCCCAGACAGGTCATGTGACTTACTCATGGTCACACAGAAGAAAGGATCAGAGGTGAAAAGGTATAGTCTTTCTATGTTTCAAATAATGGGGATCTTTGTGTGTCTCCTCTGGAGTTTATGTATTGTCTTGTATGTGAGGAAGAGTTTAATCTAGGGAAGAAGGCTGGCTTGTGGGCATGGTCTATGCCATGAGCTTTGACACCCATAAGGCAGTTTCTGCAGGGCCAGCAAGCGCATGAAGAAAGCCAGAGGCAGTAGGTGAAATAGAGGGTGAACTTCAGAGACCTTGAGTGGCCAGAATGAGTAGGGGTTGAGGATTAGGTGGGTGATAAGAGGAAGGCCTTGGATGACTTCCTGATTCCTGCTTTGTAGTTTGTTAGAATGCTGATATAAATCAGAGGCTTGAAAGGAGTAAAGTTCTGCAGAGTCATTGAAAATGACTGTCTCCTGCCTTCAGGACCTCACTGTCTAATGTGAAGGAAGGATGTCATTGCCCTGGGTGTGATGATGGAGATCCACTATAGGCACAGATACATGAGCTCTGGGAATAGCTAAGGAGGCCTCTTTGAGTTGCTGGCACTGCCATAGCATTTCAGAGTGGCCAAGGGGGAGGACCATATACGCTTCTGTATGGAGCAGGGAAGAGAAAGGAATTCCAGGGAGAAGGTTCAGCTTGGCAGACGTTTGGAAAGGAGGAATAGCAGCTATCTCCTTCTGGAAGGTTTGCAAGGATGATGCTGAGTTCATTTGGGGAGGTGTAGAGTTTCAGGTTCTTGAGGGCCATCAACAGAAGCCCCAGTTGGCAGGAATAAACAGGTCTGGACCTCTGAGGAATGGTGCTCTCATATTTAGGGGCCATCCGATTATTGTTAGTACCTGCATATCTGAGAGGAGAGTTGCTTACACAGACAACCATGGAAAGAGGTTACAACTTTGGAGACTGTGGTAAGAAGAGGAAGAGCTTTTTGAAATGGACCATGGTGGGCAGGGAGAGGCAGAAGGGAGCTTGGAGAGTAGGCCACTGAGTCTGGAGGAGGAGGGGTAGCTGCTCAGGGTGTAGGAGATCTACCTGGTGAGGTTGGCAAGAATTGGAGCAGATGGGCACAAGAAGGGAAGCTGGGGTATAACAGTGGCAAGATATGAGGATTTAGTAGATTTATGGAAGAGATGGGGCTTTGTCCTTCAAGCTCTCAGACAGAGGAGTTACATCAAGAAGGAGGCCGCAGGCATCTGCATCACAACCAGAGTGTAGAGGAGTGGAGAGGGAGAGGCAGGAAGCACATTTGGAAATGTAGCAGTAGTCCCATGAGTGACACTGAAGGCCTGACCTATGCTGTGATGAGAGGGAGGGTTGTCTAAGATCACATCATAGAGATAAAATTGATATTTGCTGAAAGACTGCATAAGAGAGCTAAGAGTAACAAACCACACTGTGTGAGTGGAGTGTGGAGAGGCCAGGTGGGGGGTGGCTAAAGGGGGAAGCAGGTAAGTTGAAGGCATTTAGGTGGGTTTGAAGGGCCCATGGGCCATCCATCCAGTTAAAGGTGCCTATCAAGCTCCCAGCAGAGGCCAGCACTGGCTCAGAGAGCTGGGTGTGTGGGCAAGAATGATTGGAACTGTGAAACCTGGTGAAATTATCCAATTAGTATGTCAGAAAGAAAGGATGTGGGCCAGGCACATCTAGCAGTACAGCTGTGATGTTACTTCCTCCTCCATTGTGATTTGAATTTGATTTCACTTGTGGGGAGCTGACCAAATTGTCCTTGTCCCAGGGGAGCACAGGGTTTCAGAATGCCTCCTTGCCTGGCCGATGCATAGGCTGGTTGCTCAAACCCCTCTTTGTTGGAGGAAGGACTGCCCATATTAGGGAGACATAGGAGGCAATCCAGAAGGAGGAAAAAAGGAAGGCAACACTGAAAAATGTACATCTGATGGAGAACCGGAAGTGGAACTGCCTAGAAAAGGGAAGTGTACTTCATTATATAATCTTGTGGTCTTGAAATTAAAAGTTCTCAAAAGCATGATTCTTGTTGGTTATGCACTCACCGCTCCATATTAACCTGGTGGCCTCAGGTAAATCATGGAACCTTCTGGAACATGTTTCCTCGTCTGTAGTCAGAGTCAGTTATGTCCATCACAAGACTGTTGGGATGGTTGAATGAAGTGTTGGTGGGAAGCTGAGTTCAGTGCTGCCTCTGTATCTGGAATTGGAGTGTTAGCACCTCCCCATGCCCTGCACAGTCCACCACAAGACCAGCATGAATAGTTAAGACCAGTGGGTAGCTCCAGTGAGCAGGGTCTTCCTGGGTACCCCTCTGGCCATGGCCAAGCAGAAGCACAAATTTAGCCTTGCCTCAGTGATCTGCCTGGTCTTCTTACCCACATGGTCATCTGATGCCTTTTGTGTTGTACAAACCCGTGTTGAACAAACAAAGGTCACTTTTGGTCAAGCATTCTCCTTTGACTCCATGACAAACCCTGGTTTTGGCAGCCCCAGGGTACAGTCGTATTTTCACATTTCTACCAACTGTGTAGGGGAAGTTTCATCTTTGTGAACTAATGCCATTTAGTTCTATTTTATTTGCAAAATGGGTCTGGTGTTCTGCATTTAAATATTTTAGTCTTACTTAAAATGACTGTCTATTTAATGCTTTCCTAGGGCGAACCATATCTGAACACGGCCTATGGGCACATGATCTGCTACTGGGATGGCTCTGTTCATTACCTGATGTACCTGGTGATGGTGGCGGCCATAGCATGGGAGTAAGTTGGTTCTCCTGGTGTGTGAGTCACCTTAGCAAATGATCACTATGTAAGGAAAACATGTACAGGGGTGAATACAGGAATGTGTGTTCTGTAAGTACGAGTTAGACATAGCTTTGCTTTCTTTGTACCCCTCTTTTTGAACTCATCCCTTTGACTTGCTCTTACCAGTGACAGCGCAAAGTGATCCCTTAGGTTTCTGCGTATGTTTCCTTATGAGGAGACTTTCAGAGGGTGTGGTGGTGCATACCTTTAATCCTAGCACTTGGTAGGCAGAGGCAAGTAGGTCTCTGTGATTCCAGGCCAGCATGGTCTACAAAGTGAGACCCTGTCTCAAAAACAAACAAAAAAACCAAAACAGCCCCCCATCCAAAAAAAACAACATTCTCATTTTGTGTGTATGTACATGTGTGGAGGTTAGAGATTGATGTTGGGTATCCTCAATCATTTCTCCCTTATTTTTAATTATATTTTGCTTACTTTGTGTGCATGTGTATATGTTAGGTGTGTACCCACCAAGGCATGTAGTGGTCAGAGGATAACTTACAGGAGTTGATTCTCTCCTTCCATAATGTAGGTCCTGGGGATAGAACTCAGGTTTTCAGGCTTGGAAGCAGGTTCCTTTACCCACTGAGTCATCTTACTGGCCATCTACCTTATTTTTTGACAAAGTCTCTCACTGATCCTGGAGCACACCTTTTGGCTAGACTGCTTGGCCAGCAAGCTCCTAGGATCCTCTCCTCTCTACCCTCACCCCAGCACTGGAGTTATAGGTGTACACCATCATGCCCAGCATTTTATGTGGGTGCTGGAGGCCTCATACTTGCACAGGAAGCACTTTACCCACTGAGCCATCTCCCCAATTTTAGGAATCAAAGCCTAGCACATTGTAACTCAAAACTCCTGGCTTATTTTGGTTCAGAGCCTCTCCTCCAGTTCAAATGTGCTGCAGATAATTGGTCTTAATTATTTGCAGCTGGCACCTCTTGGAGACTTCATCTATGGTATTAAAGGAATAGGGGACGTCTTTGTTAACAGTTGCTGTTCTCTGGGTACTAGTGCCCTCTGCCGTGACAAGCTGGCTGTGTCACAGACACTCATGGGCACTCTGGAGACCCTTATGATGGGACCTTTTGTACCACACCAATCGCTGAAGCGAGCAGTGCCTCTGGCTGAATCTTTGCTCCCTGCCCACTGTGGCTTTCCCATAGCTTCTTCCTAGGCCAGAAGGCAATCTTTGACAATAAATTCTTTCCAGATAGCCCAAGCTCAGATACCTTCTCCAGCCTCTACTTGGCTCCAACTTAGAGAAAGTTATGTGGTTCTGCCCCACAGAGGACTGCAGTGCAGCTCTATTGGTTGTTCCCACTTTCCCTCATCATGCATTCAAGGACTGCTCCAGTTTATGCTTATCTGTCTTCCTGTGATAGTCATTGTCCTGGTGAGGTTGACTCCATTTGGCTTAGAGGCTGGAGCAGGACAGAAAAGACACAGGCCTTTCCACTCTGTCTCCTCTGAGATCCTCACAGCCTTTAGTATGGAGTTGTGTTTCTGGTTTTCAGCTGAATACTTACTTAGCCACTACTGAGATTAGTGTAGATGTCCAGTTGCTCCTTTAGAATCTGAGGATGTGTCATTAGCTACACCTCTAGGGCTTTAGCCAAAACTCTGTGTTGCCACAGGAAGTCCATTTTACATCCTAATACTTACTCATACTTACAGTGATTTAAAATAGAGGTCCAGTGTCCTTTCGTCTTTGAACCTTCTTTTCCCTTCTATACACAATAAGGAAATGCAGAGTCCTGATCAGTGATAGCCATGTTATATGTAGTTCAACTGCAGATCAGTGTGGCAAGCATAATTTCCTATTCAAAGGGACACAAAGTGGGCTGGAGGGATAGCTCAGTCAAAAAAGTGCTTGCCATGGGCTGGAGAGATGGCTCAGCGGTTAAGAGCACTGGCTGCTCTTGCAGAGGACCTGGGTTTGATTTCCAGCACCCACATGGTAGCTATCAACCATCTGTAACTCCAGTTCCAGAAGATCCAATGCCTCCTTCTGACCTCCATGGGCACTGCATGACACAGGTGCACTCACACACATGCAGGTAATACACTCATACACATTAAAAAAAAAAAAGTGCTTGCCACACAAGCATGAAGACCAGAGTTCAAGCCCCAGCACTCACATAAAAAGCTGTGTTTAGTGGCACATGCCTGTAATCCCAGTGCTGGGGGTGGGATAGGGTGGGGAGAAAAGAGGATCCCTGGGACTTGCTGGTCGTCCAGTGCAGCTGAATCGGTGAATTCCAGGTTCAGTGACAGATCCTGTGTTAAAAAAATGAGGTGGAGAGTAATCGAGGAAGGCACCTGACATCCTCCTTTAGCTTCCACATGCATGAGTGTGTGTACACATACCATGCACACATACATGAAGTCATACACACAAACACAACACAAAGAAGGTTCTGCAGTATGTCATGGGAATGCTGTTTGGTTATGAGGGTTCCTTGTGTTATCATTCAATTAAGTTTCTACTCATGTGCTTTAGTAGTTAGAATGAGAAATAATGCTGAGGATCATCTTTTGCTAGTCCTGTCCAAGACAAGTGCACTGAGATGAGATGTTTTGTTACAGGGAAAGTTACAGAACCATTGGCCTATATTGGGTTGGATCCATTATAATGAGCATTGTCGTTTTTGTGCCCGGAAACATTGTAGGTAAGAAACTTCATCTTAATATTTGTTTTTCTTTTGTTGTTATTGTTGCAATAATGGGGTTTTTAAATAGAAGTTATTTTTATTTAGAACAGTATAGAGATTCTAAGCTTATAAAAACTATTCCTCTCTGTGAAGTTATCCTTTAAGAAGTACTTCAGAGCAATTTTCAGAAGTGTGCATTGAACAGTTAAGTGATTGTCATTTGGTGCACAAATACTGTTTACAACTCTTTGTATTATGTATAACTCCTGACACACCATGAGAATTTGATAATTGTAAATTAAGATTCTTGAAGATTAAAGTAAAAGAGATTATTTATACATGTTGAAATTAGGATGTATATATTACATATTCTTTTCAATATGTAGCTAGGACATCACTGTTAATAAACATCTAATAGTTTAAAATTAACATTTTGTTTCATCTCATAAAAATATTTCCTGGTCTATAACAAAATTTTAGATGATTTGAGGTGGAAGATATCCTAAATATTACATGTGTTTACATGTATGTATGAGCAAACTTCTGATATTTTTCTCTCTCTTTTAAATAGGGAAATATGGAACACGAATTTGCCCTGCTTTTTTCTTAAGCATACCATATACTTGTCTTCCTGTCTGGGCTGGTTTCAGAATCTATAATCAGCCATCAGAAAATTATAATTGTCCCGCAAAGGTGATTTTATTATATTTAAATGTAATCTTCTTCTCAGACTCACAGGGCTCGTGTCCCCTGGCCATGGGATTGCACTGTGCCTGTGTGGAGGCACATTTGGGGCATTCAATCCCTGGGGCTGTGTTGAAAGTGTAGCGTCTGCTGACATCTTAGCTAATGTGGCAATGGTTTGTCTCTGTCTGAATCTGTCTCCTGCTATTGGCCAGGCCACACTTTTCGGTACTTCCTTCACTAAGCGGTCACTTTGGCTCTTGTCTTCTCTTCTGTGTTAGTGCATGACACGAAGTGTAGTGTGTGTGGTTTGCCTGGGCTGCCAATGGCCTGGTTGTCAGCACCTGGATACTTTAAGTAAGACCAAATGCATTTATTGCTGTAAGAGGAGTTAGGGAGCTACTGCTGTTCAAGGTAAACCACAAAGCCATAGGATCTGATTTCCAAGAGATGCAAGCCCATGGAGATTGGCTGAAGGACCTCTTCCCAGACCTCTCACTTCTGTTCACTTCCAGGGCAGTTAAGGTAAAGCAGTGCTGGCCCTGAAGGTACTCTTAAAATCTGCATTTCTAAGTTAGTGATCTCTTTCTAACTTTCTCTTTAATTCACAGATATTAGATTCTTGAGCAAGGTCCTTTACTTCTGATAATATGAAAATATAAACTACTAGTTAGAACATGATAATCACTTTACAATTTTTTTTTGTTCTCTTTGAGACAGAGACTCCCTGTGGCCCCAGCTGGCCTGGAACTCACAGAGATCCATCTGCCTCTGCCTTCCAAGTGCTGGGATTAAAGGTGTGTGCCCACCACACCTGTCTACAAAATTCTTTTTTAAAGTAGAATTCATTAAAATAATTTTTTACGGATGTGCTGGAGATTGAACCACAGCCACCTACATGCTGAACAATTACTCTACCAGTGAGGTTTGCTTCTAGATATGTCATACATTATAACTTACACACAGTTTATCTGTAAATATTTAGATACTACTGTGTAAACTCAGGCTGACACACTGACAGCTGGTACACTGTTACATTCCTTTGATGAGTAAGTGGGTGTTATGAAGGAAAGCAAATAGCAACCCTAGTCAGCCCTGGCTCCATGTGAATAGTGTGTGAATAATGTTCATTATAAGATACATAGAATCATTCATTATTGATATTTTAACACTAAAGCACAGGGATGGGCCAAGGGGCATCATTACACAGTGCTGATAAGAACATGAACTCAGACCCACTCTACAATGTACTTTTGAAACAAATTGGACCCTTTAACCTGTTTCCTCATCCAGGGGGCCCTATCCTAAGGCATCCATTGCAGAGATGCTACAGGTATGCCTCAACGTCTTGCAGTTGGAGGACAGTGAAAACATGGTCTCTTTATGCTCTTTTCAGTTTTGAATAATGTGGGAAAGTGCTCATAGGCAATTATTCAGTGAAGAATGCAAATTACTTATACACTAAATTTTGTTTTGCAAAAAAAAGGTTTTATGTGAGTATATGTGTGTGTAAATATACAGATATATGTATGAATCGGGCATGGTGGCACACACCTGTTATCCCAGGACTTGGGAAGTGGAGGCAGGAGGATCATGAATTTGAGGTTAACCTGAGCTATACAGGGAGTTCAAGGCCAGTCTCAGCCATAGTAACATCTTGTCTTAAAAAAAAAAAAAACCAACCAACCAACCTTGTATGATTGGAAAAGTGTATCAACTATTAATAGTGGTATGGCAGTTTATGGCTTACTTTGTGAAAACTTAGTTTTCAAATGAATGTAGCTTACATTTATAATCATGAAAATGTAGCTAAAAAATATTTTATTAGCCGGGCGTGGTGGCGCATGCCTTTAATCCCAGCACTTGGGAGGCAGAGGCAGGTGGATCTCTGTGAAATAAATAAATAAATAAATAAATAAATAAATAATTTTTTTGGTCTTTTTGAGACAGGGTCTCCCTGTAGCCCCAACTGTCCTCCAACTATGTAGACCAGGCTGGCCTCGAACTCACAAAGATCCACCTGCCTCTGCCTCCCAAGTGCTGGGATTAAAGGTGTGCGCCACCATGCCCAGCGTATTATTTTGTGTATGAGTGTATTGCTTGCATGTATGTGAGTGCACCTGTGTTGTGGAACTGGAGTTAAGGATGGTTCGTAGCTGCCATGTTGGGTGCTAGGAATCAAACCCGGGTCCTCTGCAAGAGCAGTCATCTCTCCAGCCCTGAAAATGTAATTTTAAGAAAGAATATGGACTGGGGGCTGGAGAGATGGCTCAGCGGTTAAGAGCACTGACTGCTCTTGCAGAGGACTCGGATTTGATTTCCAGCACTCACATGGTGGCTAACAACCATCCATAACTCCAGTTTCAGGGGAATCCAATGCCTTCTTCTGACCTCCGTGGGCACTGCACGACATGGGTGCATTTACACACATGCAGGCAATACTTACACTCATACACATAAAATAAAAATATTTAAAAAAAAAGACTATGGTCTGAAACTGGAAGGGCCCTTCAAGATCATCTGGCCCCAAACCTCCATTTCACAGAAGCAAAAACTGGAGCTTGAGGGTGGTTTTCCCTAAAGTCCCATGGCCAATGTGGTCTATGATATGAATTCTTAATCTTCAAAGCTGGCTATTTATCATGACATTTAATGTTTCAATAGGCTTCAGACTCTTCTCTGGCACGTTGGGCTTGTTCTCTAGTGACAAACTCTATTTTAGGTTGTTCAAGAAGCTCAAGCGAAAGACCTGCTGAGAAGACCATTTGACTTAATGTTGGTTGTGTGTCTCCTCCTGGCAGCTGGATTTTGCCTATTCAGAGGCTTGGTAAGCCTAACAGATCAAAATAACATTATATTGTTCCAAACAGGAAGAGTCTGGAGAGAGAGAGAGAGAGAGAGAGAGAGAGAGAGAGAGAGAGAGAGAGAGAGAGATTCAAATCAGACTAACATTATTTTTATTTTATGTGTATGAGTGTATTGCTTGCATGTGTGTGAGTGCACTCGTGTCATGCAATACCGCAGAGGTCAGAGGAGGGCGTCGAATTCCCATGGAACTGGAGTTAAGGACAGTTCATAGCTGCCATGTGGGTGCTGGGAATCGAACCCAGGTCCTCTGCAAGAGTAGTCAGTTCTCTTAACTGTAAGCCATCTCTCCAGCCCCTACACCTGGGTTTTAAAATACATTTGGTCAGCTCTGAATTTTGTTAATTATATTTAGCTTCAATGACATTTACTAAGTATTCCAAACCTGCGTATGTTACACACTTTGAGAACAGAGAGGCTAGTGTAGACTGATGCAGCTCATCTATTGTTTTGGAATTTGGGGGTTATAAACAGGCCTGTGTAGCTTCTTCAGGGTTCAGGATGAGGCCTGTTTTCAGGTGTCTGTGTGGGTTGTCATACTCTTCCTAGAGAAGTTAGTTGAGATGAAGAGCGAGGATCAGAGGCTTCATTCAGCCATGGAAGCTGCTCTTTGGTTGGTCTGCTCTAAGTTCCAAAGTTCAAACACCACCACAAAATGAGACCCAACTATATTCTTCCATAGCCATATCCGTTTGCATCTGAGAAAAATGTGGACATATGTGGTGGGTGGGGCTTTTTCAGATGGGCTTTTGGGCCAAAGGCCCATTTTTACCAACTCTATCACAGGTCTGTAATCACATTGTCTGGGTAGACATTTCATTTATGGCCAAGGATATGATGTCTGAGGGAGGTGACTCAGTTATATGCCAAAGAGACATGTATCTTATTCTGTGGATTAGAGTGTACTCTGGTAGTAGTAAATCAGTTCTGCTCTCTTTTAGAGTGGACACATGAGGTGTTTTCAAACAGGACCCTGCTTTCAAATCATTATCCTTTATAGCTCCCCAAAGCCCTAGACACTCTGACGCACTGGAGACAGATGCTGGTTTTGAATCTTGCAAAGCCTACTAAGATTTGGTATAGAAGCATATTTTTTTTTCTTCCTGTAGGGCTATTTATTCTCAGAGAAAGTGAAACTGGCCATCTAAACCAACAACTGTGCTTTCGCTAGATAAACCTAGATATTTAATCTGTGAATATTCGAAAGATTCCCAAGAATAGACCAGTAGTTTCCATTTTCAGCTCCGCTGTCAATCTTGGATTAGTCCCCTTACAGAAGTCTGCCAAGATTTCCATTTTTTTTTTCCTTGTCACTGATGAAACTGTAGATGCATAGCTTTTGTTAAATAGCAGAGCAGCTTGTGACTAAACCTGGCACACTTAGCCCTATCAGTAAACCTAAGAATGAGATGTGACTGTATCTACAGTGAATTCATTTTTGTTCGTAGATTGTTCTGGATTGCCCAGCTGAGCTGTGTCGACTATACACACAATTTCAAGAGCCCTACCTGAAGGACCCCGCTGCTTATCCTAAAGTTCAGGTCAAGTGGTTACAAAGCCCAAGATTTTCTTCTCATTCTTTTTTTTTTTTTTCAAATGGGAAAATGTGGTCCTACATAGGAAATAGGAATTAGAATTTTCTTTGAAAATGTTTTTTTGGTGCTTTCTGTTCGGGCCAAGCTTTTAATCTGCTGTTCTTTGTTCGATACAGATGCTGGCATACATGTTCTACTCTGTCCCTTACTTTGTGATTGCACTTTATGGCTTAGTGGTCCCTGGATGTTCTTGGCTGCCTGATATAACGCTGATACATGCTGGAGGTCTAGCTCAGGTACCAAGAATACATATATTTTAGTTTTTTTTTTTTTTTTTGGTCTTTTTGAGACAGGGTCTCCCTGTAGCCCCAGCTGTCCTGGAACTCACTATGTAGATCAGGTTGGCCTTGAACTCACAGAGATCCGCCTGCCTCTGCCTCCCGAGTGCTGGGACTAAAGGCCTGCGACACCACACACAGCAAGAATATTCCGTTTTGAGAATGTTCATTGGTGATCCAGCTATCATTGAATGTAAGAAGCTGATCTCTGCTCAGTATTTTAGAGTGGGAAATGGTTCCAGTTCTGTAGAAGACATTTCAAGTATATTATGTTACTTAAATCTCATGATACCATCTGATAAGATGTATAGAGTGAAATTAGGATTTGCTCAGGATCACTTAATTAGCAAATGGCAATGTTATCTTACAAGACTGTTTCCCATTTTATAAATGCTATAGCTACTGATAAGAGTTGACAGCTATAACTCAAGATGTTTATTCAATCTAAATTTAAGAATTCAGAGCTCTGTTATACTAAGCTGTATAGAACCAGGGACGCTGGTTTAATATTCATTCTGCTCCTGGAAAGCTGGACTTGTCCTTCAGTTCCTCTCCCTGGCACTTAGCCAAGTCTCTGCCTGACAGCAGGTGTGCATTCAAAGTGACTATGCTGACCTAGCTGTGAAAATGCAGCTCACCCAGAACGAAGTGCAGCTTAGTTGCATGCTCATGGTGCCAGAGTAGCCATGACCACAAAAGGACCCTAGGATTTATAAGGTTGAAAAATACTTTGAGTACTTATGGGGGTCATTGGATTAAACCATTCCTGGGTTAATTAACATAGGATATGCATAGAAAAATAGATATAACATCCAGAAGAAATGATTTCTGAAACACTATTTACCCACTTTGCTGTCCTTTGTCAGCCTCTAAATATCAGATCCTCAGGCCTTGGTCTAGGTATTTACTTCTCTATTCTTTTAATACCAACTCTAAGTTGGTGACTTTCAGTTTCTTGAGCCCCAATTTCTCCGACTCATACTTAATTCAAAACTTAATCATTTCTTCTGGATGTCTCACTAGCATGTCAGGTTTTTACAAAGTAAAAAGAGTAGTACCTTCTTAATGGAATCAAGCACGCTCTAGTTTTAAAAGTATATTTGCAAAGAAAATGATACTTTTGTGTGTCTTTTTGAGACAGGGTCTCCCTGTAGCCTCAGCTGGCCTGTAACTTGCTATGTAGACAAGGCTGGCCTCTATTTCAGAGATCCACCTGCCTGTGCCTCCAGAGTGCTGAGAATAAAGGCATGCACTAGTATGCCTGGCAGAAAATATTAGTCTTTATAAGGACATAGTTTTCCTGTTTTGATACCAGGTCTTACTATATAACCCAAACTAACCTTGAACTGAATCCTCCTGTTTCTGCCTCCCAAGGGCTGGGATTATAGGTGTGCCCTACCACGCCCAGATAGCATATCAGATTTAGAGATGAAAATAGACTCTTGATCCTCCCTACTCTGACTGTTCCCATCATCTTCGTAAACAGCCCCTCCTTGCATCAACCGGCTGAAGTAAAAAACCTGGAATAAGTCTTTATACCCACTTTCCCCCACCCTCCACCTGGTCCACTACTAGGTTAGGCCAGAGCAGTTATTTCCAGAGTAATCACAGGACACTAGTCTGAGTTCCTTACTTGCCACTACATCTTTTAGTTGCCTTTGAAGGTAGGCTGTGTGCTTGGCTCAGTTACAGTTCTCAGAACTTTAACACAGTAAAAATGTTTCTTGCTTCTGCAAAGTTCATATGGGATCTTTTAAGGGCCAGATCTGGGAACTCAGCTGTAGGAGAGGCTGGTAAATGTAGTCTTCCTGTCTCTGAAGTGGTGTAATGACTGAATATTTTATCTTTGCAAGTGTTTTTTTACTTAAATACACACTGAAAGCTGGGGAAACTGAGGCTCAGAATAGCTTGGTTACCTGACCAGGGCCAGAGTGTTATAGCATCGTTAAATGACAGAATAGGGGAAAAAATCCTTTCTGGCTCTAAAGCCCATATTCTCTACAGTTTTATCTTCTCCTGCCTGTGTAAACATTTAGCTGCAGCAGAGCCTATAACACAGAGACTTCTATGTGCCAGGAAGTTGGCAAACCATTGTGGAGTATGCAGTGGTGGGAGGCAGTACTGTCTGGGGTGGGCTGAGGGCTGAATGGGACTTTATTAGGTTAAGTCTCTCCAGGGATCAACAGGAAGAAGCACTCTGGCATGGCAGAGTACAGGTCAGGGGAAGAGTAAGCCTTAGCTTTTGTTTCCTTGGCCTAGTTCCCCTTCCTTTTCCTCTTGTATTTTCAAGGATGCGGGGCTGAACGTTCATCACACACTTGCCAGCCAGTCCAACAGCTAACTGTATTCTTTGCTTTGCAGTTGGACATCCTTTGCATGCCATGTGCACTGGTTTGCCCTGTGCCAACAGTCTGAGACAGGGTCTTGAGTGTCCTCAGCTAGGAGGATAGTAAAGAAGAACAGGTATGGGACCTGGCCAAGTCTCAGAGGACAACTGGAGAACTAGAGAGAACCTAAACAAATGTCTAGTTATGTGGAAAAGGAGTCACACAGCCAAGTCAGGAGGCTTGGGATGCCTAACCTAAAAGCAACTAGGTTTAGAGCCTATAGCAGGTTCTGTAGCTGATGTTCAACTTGCACATGGGGACCAGTGACTCCAACCAGGTGGTACTGGGAAGGGCAGTGTGGGTTGTAGAGTGACTGACAGAAGCAGTGGCAGGTTCAGCCAGACTTTAGGCTTTACAGGAATCCTTGGGCTTATTCATAACCCAGTTTGACAAATAAGACTGAAGCCACGCTTGCTGGTGAATGCCCAGACCCAGGGTTTGAGGGCTGGATCCTGTTAAATATCAGCTTTCTGAACAGAGCACGCAAAGAGTGGCACAATCCAAGAATTGCATTTCCAGCACCCTCCTAGCTCTTGGTTGGGCTTTAGTATCTACTTATTTATTCAGTGTTCAGCCTAAGGAAATTTTAGAAATGATGTTGCAATAAAACAATACACATAATCATAATGTAATTTGTATGTACACTAAGCAAATACATGCTTAGTAAATGGCCCCTCATCTTAGAAGGGCCTCTGTACCCAGCACCCTTGTTTGCTGAAACTGCTATGTCTAATTTAGGAGCCTTATACATCCATGCTCCTACTGACAGTATCAAAACCTTTTAGTTTTATCTAAAGTATCAATAGGGTGGGTCCAGGCTGCTCTTAAACATGTGATCTTCCTGTTCCAGCCTCCCAAGTGCTGGAATAACAAACATGCACCACCACACCTGGCTAACATAAAACCTTCTCTTACTGAATGATCTACTGTAATCCAGACTATACAATTTAATAAAAAAAATCTCCAAAATTTTTAGATGAGATCAGTGGAAGACATACTGGGCTATGATTTCAGACTGCTAGGAATTACCCAAATCTGTTATCTTTAGAAATTAAAAGATCAAAAAATTTTTAAAGTAAAATCCAGTATAAACTTTAAAAAGTCAAGATACATTTTAGGTCAAGTTCTACTGGAGGACTTACTCATAATAAAAACTATCTTTATATAAAATGCTTACTATAGGATTAAAACTGTAAGCCTAACTTAATTATGACAGGCCATATCAATTCACCTATTTATGTTTTATATATCAACTGAAGTACAGTCAGCCCTTTGCCATGTACACATTCAACCAGCTAAAGATCAAACATTAGGCTATGATGATTAGCAGTACCAAACATGTAGACTTTTTCCTGTTCTCTAAACAACAAAGTACAACTGCTTACATAGCATTTACATTAAGTATTATAAATCATCTAACTAAAATATGCAAGATGACGTAGACAGGACATATGCAAAATGACATTTTATACAAGGAATTTGAGGATCCATGGATTTTGATACTTATGGGACATCCCAAGGTCCTAGAATCCATCCCCAGTGGATGCCAATGGCTGATTATATGTTAGAAACCTTTAAGGAGTGTCTGAAAATAAAGATTTAGAAGTGCACGAGTAACTGGGATACTAATGCAAATCTCTCACTCATTTGCTTCTGTTGCTTTCATATCAAGCACCTATATTTAGTACTAACGTTAGACTTTGGTGTTAACTTCTTTACACACTGTCCTTTGATGGAGACAGTTAAAAGGAGCAGAACAAAGGGATCTAAAAACAACTTACGTTTTCAATGTGTCAGATCATAAACAGGTATTTCAATTTTTGTGTCTACTAGATAGCCCTATGTGCTTGGCACTGTCTTAGCATGTCACAAATACCCACTCACTGAATCCATCTAAACAGCCTAAGGCAAGCTTCATTATTTGGCTTGTGGTAGAGCTGGAATCCAACTAGCCATATGGCTCTGGAGTCAGTATTACTAACCACTATACTGTGATACTCAGAAAACCCCAAGGTAACATGGTCCTTGATCAGCTTACATGTATTACAAGAACCAAAAATATGGCTTTTAGGGCTGGAGAAATGGCTCAGCGGTTAAGAACACTGACTGTTCTTGTAGAAGACCCGGGTTCGAATCCCAGTATCCACATGGCATCTAGCAAATGTACGTAACTCCAGTTCCAGGGGATCTGACAGTCTCTTCTGTCTTCCGCAGGCACTGCACGACATGGGTGCACTTACCTACATACAGGCAACACGTGCATACACGTAAAATAAAAATAATATATTTTTTTAAATGGCTTTTGTCCCAGCAGCCACAGAAGTGTTTTTTGTTTTTTTTCCTTTAACATTCATGTAAACACCTGAAACTTAGTTCTTTTTGGAGCCAGGATTGTGATTTTGGGGGCTTGGGCAGAGAAGTCATC